GTTTTTTAATTATTTTGAGATTTTATTTTTATTAGTTGATAAAAAAGTCATGCCATGTTTAATAAAAAAAATGTAGAGTAAATTTAAAAATGATTAAAATAGATTCAAAAATAAATTAATTTATTAGTTTACTTTCTTTATATAATGCACTAAAATATTAATCAGAAATAAAGAATTAGCATTATTTATATATCTAGCTAAAATATAGTTGTTTTAAAAGTAAAACCAAATGAGAGAGCTATATTATAATTACATATCTAACTCTTACGGATAATGATATAAAAATGAATCCAATTTTAAACTTAATTTTCTTAATCCTATTTTTTAATTATCAGAATGATGAAATAAATAACGGGATATAAAGAGTATCTCTTTTTAAGTAGAAATCTAAAATTAAGGGATTCATTCATTTTTTATTTATCGTTAGATAAAATTAAACATGAAAGATTACTAGGATAAATAAATATTTATCATAAATTTTAAATTTTGAAGGCCACAATAATTTTAAAGATATTAAATATTTGAATTAAAATGTTTATAATAATAAATCATTCATCATCATTAATATTAGATATTATTGATAATAAAATGTTAATTTTTAGGTGAAAATGGTCTAGAACTTTGTTGTGTATTTGTTCTTCCACTAGTTGGTATTGATAGACTATTTCCTTTAATACCCTTTGCAATTTTTACTTCTTCTTTTCTTAAATTATGATACCATTTTAAAATCATAATTACTAAAATTAAAATTATTATGAATATATACTTATCAATGTAAATATACAAAGCAATATGGTTATCAAAATAATTATTTAATAAGATTAATGTTCATATAAATAAGTTGAAATCGAACTCACTTAAAAATTTAGATGATGTCTTTCTATTGTTGTACCATTATAAGAAACATTGTAGACTAAAGAATAAGGTACAGGATTATCTTAATAAATTTAACATTCTATTGTTAATGGTATCAATTATAATTGACTATGAAAGAGTTGAGTAGCTGTGATACCTATTAATTCATTATTTCTTAATTAAAAATCTCTTACATTATATTTTATGATATTATTTGATAAAGATGTACCAAAATTAAATGCCACCATATGTCTACTCTTACCTTAAATAATTGCATATTCATTATTAACATCTACATCTTTTATTTTATTAGTATAAATTAAGTTTTGTATTCTCCATTCTGTATCATCTACAACATATTCTACAATCGCATATCTTAATTTCCATTTATAACCAACAAAGATATTGATTCCATTTTTTGTATCAACTGCAATACCACCTTCTTGAACATCAATTTTTCTTACTTTAAAATCGATTACATTTTCATGAATATTCATTTTAGCAATAATTAAACCCACAGAACAATCTAAAATGTATAAAGTTGTTTGAAATATAGTAAAATCTTTAACACATAATTAAGTGTATCCAATATCAGCATGATTTATGGATCTGTAATANTATATGTACCATAGTTACTATATTCTCAAAATGTTATCTTTTTGTTTCAAAAATTAGGTTGACTTCTTTCAAATAACAAAATGGTAATGTTTCATTTGTTATTAGTTGTGAGTCTTTAGCTTAAAAAAGAGAAAGTATTGATGTCTCTTCTTCAGTTGGAATCTAAAATTCAAGTGATTCATTTTGAATTTATCTGACTCTATAAGATTAAACATTAATGATTAAGAAAATAAAAATAAACATTTATCAAAAAATTAAAATTTTAACGCTCACCCTAAATTTAAAGATATGTATTTTAATTTAAAAGGATTTTAATAATAAAAGTCACTATTACTATTGTATATTATTGATAATTAATTATTAATTGGTGGGTGAAAATGGTCTTGAACTTTATTGTGTATTTGTTCTACCACTGGTTGGTAATGATAAACTATATCCCCTAATACTTTTTGCTATTTTTTTTTCTTCCTTTCTTAAATTATAATACCATTTAATGATCATTATGACTATTATTAATTTGATAATGCATACTTATCAATGAAAAAATAAAAAGCAATAATGTGATCAATATAATTACTAAATACGATTAATTTCTGTATAAATAAGTTGAAACCAAATTCACTTAAAATTTGAGATGGTGTCTCTCTATTGTAGTACCATTATGAGAGACATTATAGACAAGAGAAAATTGGTGAGAACTGCCTTATTAAAGCTAACAATCAACTTTTAATGGTATCAATTACAAATGACTACGAAAGAGCTACGTCATTGTGATACCAATTAATTCATTATTTCTTAATTCGAAATCTCTCAAATTATATTTTATTATATTATTTGATAACGAAGTTCCAAAGTTAAATGCAACCATATGTCTGCTATTACCTTAAATAATTGCATATTCATTATTAACATCTACATCTTTTATTTTATTAGTATAAATTAAGTTTTGTATTCTCCATTCTGTATCATCTACAACATATTCTACAATCGCATATCTTAATTTCCATTTATAACCAACAAAGATATTGATTCCATTTTTTGTATCAACTGCAATACCACCTTCTTGAACATCAATTTTTCTTACTTTAAAATCGATTACATTTTCATGAATATTCATTTTAGCAATAATTAAACCCACAGAACAATCTAAAATGTATAAAGTTGTTTGAAATATAGTAAAATCTTTAACACATAATTAAGTGTATCCAATATCAGCATGATTTATGGATCTGTAATAAGTAAGATTTTTTAAATGGTATATATCTATGCCATCTTATCCAACTGCTGTATAAATAAAATCCCCATAAATATTTGTAAGCCAACGTTCTTGTCTTGGTATCCAGTCTGTAAATTCAATTACGCTTACTGGCACACCTAATGGCAATAGATAAATTATATAAGCTATTGTTTCTGTTATTACTAATAAAATGTTATCATTCAAGATTATTTAATGAATATAATTCATTTCATATTTAGATAAATCTTTAGAAATTTTTTCTTTTAGATTGTTTTTATGGATTATTACTAATCTTGATCTTGTAGAAAAAATAACAATACGATTATCATCTTAACTTACTAGAGTGAGCTCTTCTATATTGTTTTCTGAAAATTCCAATATTTTATAATAACTTATGTTTTCCGATATTGATCTTTATCTCAATTCACATCCTTTTCCATTTAATTATCCATCCCAGGCATGTGGTAATTATATTATAGTACTTCTCACTCCTTTATGAATATAAAAATGGGCATTTCTATCATTGATTTCCACTATTACTTATGCAAAAATGCTAGATATTAAAAACAAAAGCATTTATATATTTAAAATATTTAAAATATTCATGAACGTATTTTCTAAAAATAAATAATCTCTTACTTAATCTTTTAAATCAGAACAACCAGATCTTCTTTTTATTCGTAAAGCTTCAACTCAAGTCTTTTTAAGTTTTCGATGAAACAACTATGAATACAGTTGAATGAACATATATTTAAAATTAAAAAGTCAATATTTTTTACTAGAGAGAGTCTCTCAAATAATATAATATTAAAATATATATCATAAATAATACAGAATAAAATTTTTGGATATTTTAACAAATAAGAGAGAAAATTGATTAGATAAATTAAAATTTTAAAAATCTTGCATCTTATTATTAAATATGTTTTTAAAATATATTATATATATAATCCCAATTAATTTGTATACCTTTGAAATATTGAAATAACCAATCAAAACAAATAATTCTTGGATGTGCAATTTTGAAAAAGGTTTTTTCAAAGAGGGATTATATCAATTTGGATTTGCTTTTATACAATTAGATATTTGGAATTAGTCATTAATTTGAGATTCTAAAATAAGAATAAGATTTTAGAAGAATCAAATGATCAAATGCAGAATATCAAAAATTTAATTAAAATTTATTTTAATAATTTTCAAAATCAATAAACTTTTTAGGCATTTTAATAAAACTAAAGGAGAGATCAAATATTGATTTCTAGATATTTAATTTAATTATTAAAAAATCTAGTAAACATTATCAAATTAAATTTTGAAGGATTTAATCTTAATATTATTACTCAAATTAAGGATTAAAATTATTTAATAGTGATCAAAAACTAGATCTAATTCGGAAATGTATTTTTAAAAAGCCAATTTTTCTCTAAACAAATAAAGAAAGTTGTTTATAAAAGTAGTTATAATTATTTGGAGGTTTTTTCTCAAGAAAAATGATGTATAATTAATTTAAATTTAATCTACTTATTTTACATAATAAATTCATAAAATATGAATAGCACTAAAATAAAGATTTTAAGAATTATCCATTTCTTTAAATTATATGTTTTTAAATTTTTAACAAGATCAATCTGATTGACAATTGGTTATTATAGATAGTGATAAGTACTTTAATTTAATAAATAACCATTCTAGGTTTTGTTTCATCAATTTTTAAATTTTAATTTTAATAAACCTTTTATAAATATTAACATTATTAAAAACTCTATTTATAAAAATAATGATTTTGTTTATAGCCTAAATGTAGATAACTTATCAAAATAAGATATATGATTTCGATGCAAATTTGCATGATCCAATGGTTATATTATGCGAATGTGGCTGGTTTCGTTACTTGTGATGAAATTTAATCTTTTGGGTATTTTGCTTAAGGCTATTTTCAAATTCTTCTCTACATCTCTTAATATTAAATTTTCCACGATATTCAACACCACAACAAATTAAATTCAATTTTTACTTTTCCAATTTGATATAAGGATTTTACTTTGGATCAAATTATAATTCATAAAACTTTCTATTTATTTTGTTAATTTAATTTTTGTTTATGATCACACCAATGATTTATCATTTAAACTAGTTGAGTTATAATAAACTTGTAAATAATTAATAGATAATTACTATCTATTATTATATTCGCTAATATTGAAATATGGATAAAAATTTATTGGTAATTAATGAGTATCATATTTATGTAATATAATTGAATTATGGTTTGATAGTGAAATAATTTTTATCTCATATTTGATTCTGAGTTTCTTTTTTATTTATTCTGTTATTTTCTTCTTTAAAATAATTATTACTTAATATACTAATCTTTGAAACAAATTTTTACATTTATTTCTCAAAGTATTTATAAATATAATTATAATTTTTGGATGGTTATTTTCATGTCATATAAAATATTGATGCCTTATTATAGAGGTATATAATAAATTTTTCATCATTTTAAGATAAACTGATGATCAACATAACTTATATCAGTAATGATTCTATACTAAGAAATCATAATTGTTTATAATATTTTGATTAAAAATGATACAGGAATCTGAAAATATAAAAGGTTTGATTGCTTAAACTTCAATTAAAATTTTCAATTAATATGGTAACTTAATTTTATTTATATTGTTAATTATTGTATAATAATTAAGTTCTTCTTTAATTAACATAAATATGATTTAAAATAAAGGGGAAAAAAAAGATAAAATTTAATAACCTATGTATGAACTTCTTTCATAATTGACTTATAAATAAGAGTAATGGTGTTATGCCATGTCATTAAATCATAATAGAACACTTTTAGCTTCTGCAGCAAATTAAGATATCAAAATTTTTTAATTTGCAGATGGATTTATAAAGTAGGTTCAATAACTAAGAGGTCATTCTTATTTTATCACAACACTCAATATATTAAGGAGTAGATAACATCTTATTTCTAGTTCAGAAGATTCTACTATTATTATATGGTCAACAAATCTATTATAGAATCCTAAATACTTAGTTAAATTGAAAGGACATAAATCATATGTTAATTGTTTGGTTGTCCATCCAATAAATGAAAATCTCATAGTTAGTGGATCAGATGATAAGACAATCAAATTTTGGTCTAATTATAATTCATCTAAATAATTGATTGATCATTCAGGCTAGAAAACATGGTTTTGTTCACAGACTATTAATGAACACATATCTATCGTTCATGGATTATCTATAAATCGAAGCGGAAATAAATTGTTATCTTGTGGAAATGATAATATAATTTTACTTTTATCAATCTCTAATAAGTAGAAATGGGAAGTCTGTTAAAAGATAAAAGTTGACAAACAAGGCTTCAGAATATCATTTATAACAGATAATTTATTTGCTTTTTAACTATGGGGAAGAAAGTTCCTCCACATTTACTCCATAAGCCAATCTGGATAATGTATCAAATAAAAAGAAATAGTTGTAAAAGGAGAAGGGATGACATGCATGAATTACTTTCCTCAAATTTATAATTCTGCTAAGTAAATTCTAATATCGAAAAATCGATAGAATATTAATATTATAAGTTTTAAATTTTCTGCCCAATCCAATACTTGGTCATGTGAACTAGAATAAAACATTGATTTTGGTGATTTTAGAATATTTGGAACTATGAGCGATGATGGAGAATTCTTAATTACCTGGGATTAAAATTCATAATCAATTCAAATTAGAAGGTTTAGATAAAAAATTGGAAAAAAAGATTGATGAATACATTAATTATAATATTTTCACACAATCTCCATTATTTCTATATAAAAATTTATAAAAAATAATTATTTACATAGGTACATTTATTCAAGAAATACTTTGCATCTTAAGTTTTATAAGGAATGTTTAATAATAGAAATTAAAAAAACTAAATTATAAATAACAATAAATGACCTAAGTAATTTATATTTAATAAAAATATTTTACTAGAAAATGTCTTTGAAAAATGTTCAAAAATTTTTTTACTGCAAATATCACAAAGGATACATTATTTAAGTATTATATTTTTGTCTAAATTTTCAAGCTATATTTTAAAAATAATATTAATATTCAGAAAACTATCTATTAATCCATAAACATAAATATTCACAGAAGAAACTTTTCCAGTCTTTAACTCCATATTAAAATTTTTAGTTTTTGCTTCCATACAATTATCTGGTTATTTCTATGAGATTTGTTAATCTTACTGATAATCGCCACATTTTATTTTAAAAGTTTTTATTTCTAAGTAAATAAAATTAATCTTAAAATACACTTAATCTTGTATGTAATAAATCTGCTTGGAGACCTTGTTATTCTTTGAAAATATATAATAATGAAATTCTCTATTATAATATTCCATATAACTTAATTTAAAATTAATTTATATATTCATTTAAAAGAATGGGGATTTGTGTATCAAAATAACCAAAAATTTAAAGAATAGAAGGAAATATATAATAATTAAATAAACTTGGTGGATGTTACTCTAAAAATAAGATAAAGCAAGGAATATGGATTGAAGAAATATCAAAGATAGATCTTAAACTTGTTGAAATGGGAGAATATTTTAATGGTTAAAGAATAGGAAAGTGGATGTGCTTTTCGAAGGATAAAAAAATGTACTTATTATTCTAAAAAAGAAATGCAGGTGGATCATATGATGATGAGGGTCGAAAAAAAGGGAAATGGATTGAGTTGTGGAAATTTTATAGCTTATACTTCTAAGTAATTTATAGTGGTGAATATAACATGAATGGTATCAAGATTGGTAGATGGGATATTATGTATAAAAGGCATGAAAATGATCAATATAAATAAATGTAATTATTATACAAGTAAAGGAAAAATGAAGTGGTGGTGGATTATATAATTCATAAGTAGATTAGAAAAAGATTGGAGATTGGATAGAATTGGAGGAAGGGTTTTAATATTAGAAATAAATCACTTATAAAGGTAAATATAATTTGAATGGTGTCAAGGTAGGTAGATGGGATATCATGTATTGTAAATATGATGAGATTGAATATAAATAAATGTAAATATTATTTAAGTAAAAAGGGGAATATATAAACACACAGAGGTGGTGGATTTTATGATCATATAGGAATTTTAATTGATTGATAAAAACTGAAATGCTTTAGTTTACCAATTCAAAAAAGATAAATCTTGCATAGCTCCCCATAAATCAAAACAATACAAAATATTTTTATAAAATAAAAAAGATAGAACAATAATAATAAATTATACTATTTTCCTAATGATCAATTTAATAATAATCATCATTTAATTTATTATTATTCTTCAATTTTGTTCTCCAAGAAGATACTTCCTCTTTATTTAAATAATGATTTTAAACCCTTTCCTTTGTGATTAATAAATTCTCCTTTCAAAATTAAAGCTTATTGTGATTGAAAATATTAGTATGAACATATAAATAAAGTTATAATAGGGCATGCAAAAGATATTCAAATAAATATTATTATCCACCAACTTCTGTAATAGTTTTGTTCTCAGCTAGTTGATATTTTTTAACTCATTCTATATGTTTGAGTTTGAAAATTTTTTTTTAATTAAAAATTTAAATTGAGATGACTTAATACTAAGTTTTAATAATTTAATTATTAGTATTAAAGTTTTTATTAAAATTTTATTTAATTAACAGATTAGTATAAAAGTTTTTATTTATATTAATGCATATATATGA